GCAGCAGCCTCTTCAGGTTCAGGGTCTATGGGATCAGAGCACAGGCAGGGCCCTGCATGGGCTGATTTGCCCCAGGTCCCGCACCTTGCTCAGGTCAGTGCTGGCTGGGGTTCTTGGCTGGAGTGGGGCAGTGCTATTTCTGGGACTTAAACCCAGATGTTCCTGGCTAGAGGGTCTTTCCCTTCTGCTCAGAGTCAGATTGATCACCATATTTAGGGCCAGGAAATAATTTTACCCTATGGTCAGATTGGTAATGACTTGGGGGTTTGCCTTCCTCTGTAGCAGGCGTATGGCCCTCTTCCTTGGATCTCTCAAGTGTATTTTAACAATCTTTGCAGCAGCAGCACATTGGCCACCATTATCCCCCTGATTTATCTGTGGCAGATTAGGCTTTTATGCCTTGTGTTTGTGTTAGGATTGACTGTGTAGTTTTACTAATAGGTTAAACAATGGATTTGTGTAGGATAGTTTGAATAAGGATTATCCTCTCTTGGCAGGGGGTTGGACTAGATGATATCTGAAGGTCCCTTCCAGTCCTATGTTCCTGTGACTCTGTGTTATCAAGTAATATCATTGGGCATATGTAGAAACCAGCTAAGTACACACCTGAATTTACCAATCTTCATTGTTAAAGGGTAAACAAACAGAAGCGATTTATTTATCCCTAGTGGAGTTCCACCCTTCCTCTCAGCAGCTAAGCTTCCCTGCAAAGAATAGCTCTTTTTACTATGTTGCAAAGATATACTTCAGTGATGTTTATGATTACAACAGGTGTTCCATAAAATATAAATATTGTGTGATACACACAAAACTGGAATAACTTAGTCTGCAATATAATCTTGCAGCTGCTGACAGTTGCTGTCATTAAAATTTTAGCATGCACTGTATGCTAGTATTAATTTTATCATGGCATTTTCAGTTTTTAGAATGGGGAATGTTTCAATTACCACAGTAAATTGGATTAATGTAAGTGATAACTGTCCAGTTTCTCTTAGGAGAGTCGCTGCTCTCCCAGGAGAAACCATGAGTGTGCAGATGTGTTTTCCTCCACAGCAAAAATGGGTGCTCCAGAAGAAAAATAACTTGGGAACAATCACAGTTAATCCTCTCTTGGGTGAGATTCTCCTGGGAGAGCAAATGTCTGTACAACTTACCCCTCTGAGAAAAGCCATGGCACATTTCTCCAACATCCCAGGGTGCTTTGTGCCTGTTCCCAGGCTCCCCACCCCCAGGAGAACGTGTGTCACACAGGCTGGACTCTACTGCTGCAGCCAAACAGAGAGCAGAACACCCCCTTTACAATCCCACATTGCGCTGTAGGGAGACCCAGCCTGATTCAGCAGTCTGGGACAGCCAACCAGGACTGCCCTGTGCATTGCTGCCATCTGTTGCCAGAAAGACTGCATGCCATGAACTGTTGTTTCTTCTTGAAGGATTTTTTATTGTTTTCCAAAACTGACACACAGTGTAATTTCAATAGTTAGATTTATAGTCGTCTTCTCTTATTCTAAGTCTTATGCACTCTGTTAAGTTCCTTGCAGGGCACTGAGCACCAAGACAGCAGCAGTCATATCCTGTGGTGTTCTTTCTTTCTTATTTGTTCCTATCAAGAGAAGTAAAAGTACATGTGGGTTCCTTTTTAATTTTGTTTTAAAATTATCTTAAAATACTTGTTTATGGCTTCTGCACTGCTTATTATGATTAGTCAATGGCATGTCAAAGAAGTATGGTTTACATCTGGAACAGAACATAGTCAATTTTAGTGTGGTTCTTAGTTCCTGGATGAGTTAATTTCAGTCTTGGAGGGGCCCCTATATACAAACAAACTGTCTTGATAATAAATATTTCTATATGGTTCAAGGGGTGCATCTACACAAGATGCTACATCGTCATAGCAATGACCTACAGCAACGTAGCGTTGGCAGGCACAAACTGTGATGCCACAGCTATGTCGCAGTACTGATGTACTCCTTCACTTCAGTACATCGGTACAGCGATGTAGTGGCTAAAAATAGCCATGGAAGTACTAAAGGAAGAACTAAATGATGGCATAGTAACAACAGCGCCATAGTGACATGTGTAGATACGCCCAAGGAGTGGGAGTCACTAATTGTGGCCCTAGTCTGGGAGTTTTAGGTGGTCTTTACATGTCCTAAGCCTAGGTCATTGAACACCATAATGTTCAGGACTGTTGACTGATACAATATTTGGGTGGGGGGTTAGGGGATGAGGAGGGTCCAATGTAGCTGTGATTTTGTTTTCCCATATCTAATTTCACTTTTAGAATGGCCCTTTGAAGTTCACTGCTCTCCTTTTCTTCTCTTACTTTCATGGAGAGTAAGTCCTATTTTATATTAAGCTCTTTAAACTGGTTTAACACAAATATATTTCCAGTGTGATACATGGGGAATTAGAAATACAGATCTTGCTATTGTGAGAGTAAGCTGCAGGCTTAATATCCCACTGTGCTCAAGCATTAGGATTTTAGAGGAAAAGTTTCCAGTTTCTATACTATAAAATAGTAGAATGCTTATTTCCAAAGATTCCCTTCAACCAGAGGGACACAGAACTTTACCTATTAGTGGCCATTATCATGCAGAATGAGATGCTGGATATACTTTCCGCACTATTATACCGTCCAGGTACATAAATGACCTTTTGTTACAGAATTTGCCTAGAAACAGGCAGCATTTCCTACACACTGATACTTCCATCATTACCCATCAGGCAAATTGTTCATAAGAGTAGATACTGACATGGATTACAAACCATGTGATATTTTGGGTGAATCAGTATAAATAGGGAGCCGTTTCCAAAAGGAAATTTAGTTAGCAGATGTTTTGAATGGACATAAGATCTAAAACTTAGTAGGTTGCTTGTCAAAAATGTTCAGCCTATATCTTTGGAGTGAATAGATGCAAACACTGACTTCAAAAGTAAAAGTAATGGAATGACTTTCTTGGCACATTTTACACTGACATATTTATTCTAATAAAATCCCTTGGTCATCTGACCAATTTGATATTGCACAGTTTATGTAGAATGTTATTGTTTATGGCACACTTTCCTCCTTTTGCAAACATTTTAAAATAATTAAATGTGATAAAATTGATAACTCAAAAGAGGAGGTGGGTCATCCTTGGTAGGCTGGAAGGGACAAAATTAATCAAGTTTATGCCAAATATTTAAATAAAGCAGTGTTTTTGGTTCATAGCAACCCCACTAGAACTAGTCTGGGATATGAAAGGGTCAATCCTGCTAAGTGCTAAAAAGGTGGGATTTAGAATCTCACAGCATCGGGTGGTAAAGACCCCAAACCAAAGACTTGATCTTGCTTCCACTATAGCTGGCAAACTGTATTGATTTCACCTGAGGCAGGACTGGAGTTAGTAT